AGTATGAACCTCCAAAATTGTACATCATTACATGTGATGCGGTTGTGTAACGGTAAGTGGCGAAATCAGATGTAAATCCATATTTAAAAGCTCTGGGTTGGTTTTTCCACTCGCTGATCAACTGGGCAGTGGTAGAATGGTAAGTTTGAAAAAATTATCTTTATTTAAACAGCTTGAAAACCTGGAGCACAACGGTGCAATCAAACTGTGTTTTTAAGCTCCACACCCTGACATTAGAGGGAAATGTCTAAATGTGGTTAGTACCCACTCCTGCACCTGCTGTAACGGTACCATGAACATTTTGTTGGAGTTAAGGTTTTTATGCTAAGGGACGTTTTGTTCTATCTGGAGCATCCCCAAAGCTGCTTCAAAGAAACTCGTCTCCAGACTGTTGTCAATCCAGCTGAGCTCAGTGTGCGCCCGCTGAGAGTCGTGCTCATTTCAATATTTATTGAAATATTATCAAAACCACTCAGAGCGACTCACGGCAATCAATGCTGTTTAGGCTCAGTGCTGCAGAGGCTGGTGTCCCTGCTGTTGCTGCTATTGTTTGTCTTCATGCCATTCAACCTTCATCCCTCTGAAGAGAAGACGGAGGAGTCACACCTCCGTAATTCTGGCCCCAAAGGAAGGGATCAGCGCAGATTGGATACTGACTGACTACAATGTGTTTTAATTGACTGAGGGTGTATTTTGTCATAAAAGAGAAGTGTAGGAACATGCTAAAGAGCAGGGGACGCTAATGTTGCACAGAAGGCTTGCCCTGCAGGCTGCCTTTATATTGCCAACAATGATTTGCCAATATCAACCATGTATTTCCGTTCCAATTTACTTGAATTGGATCCTTTGGCAATTTGCATTATCAGTTTCTGCTAAAGCACACAACCTCCTGGTAGATATGCACAAACTCTAACACTGATCGCAGTAAAGAGATACAGAGGATAATAAATGATGAATGAAACAGTAATCCTTGGGGTGACTGTATTCATGGGGAGTGGAAACAAGAGCACTTAGTCCCTGGGTTGCAACATCAGCAGCAAGACAGAGATAGAAGTTTGTCACTGAATGTTCTCAGCAGCCAAAATATCTGCATGTCTCTCACTGCAGTTATAAAGGGCAAGAAGAAAAAGAGGAAAGAATGGGTTTTTCTTTTGGGCTTAAGTGGTTAGAGGAGGGCTGAATTAAAGAATCATGAGATAAACAAACAGCACACTCAAACCAAAGTCTGCTCTGGAAAGGTCACGTCAACAGTGCGTCATCTGCGAATGTCCCTAGTTTGAGTCGATGATGACGCTCCCTGTTACATTTTTAGATTTCATTCAAACCTCTATAACACGCTGATCGCCCTCTAAACATTTATTCATTCAGACACAATCAATATCAAAGTTTGAGGAATATAGGAAAAGAACTTACTGCTCTGTGGTGCAGCTTTCATAGCATTTTTATTAAGAGGTCACTATGATCTGAGAATCCAATGTCCGTGACCCTCTTTTACACCTTTCTGTCATCTAAAATTGAGCTCACTTCAACAATATCCTGGTCTAAAACATTCAGAGATATTTTACTGCATTACAATATTTTACCCAGAAGATGGCGCTCACAGAAGTTAGCCACTGCTTTGCTCGTGAGGAAGTTGGTCGTACTTGGTTGTCTGCATTTTCACCCTCATTACCCACTAAGACGACTCTTTCATTTTAGACAACAAACGACCAGTGCCATAGGGTGATAATTATTGGTGAATTAGTCGCAGACAGTTGGTCCATCCAATAGCTAATGGTTGCTCAAGTTGAAGCTAGTGTACTCCCATGATTCAGCCATACCCCAAAACTACAAACGCCACCTCTACCGAGCTCTACAACTAGCTCTGTAGCTTACAGGATAGCAGAAAATAGATGGTACTAACAAGGGCTTCACAGTTGCACAAAAACTACACATTGTGGACTTGGTTAAAACAATCAAGTTTGCATGTTGAAGGACAGCTTTGACTCGTTTTTTCCCCTGAGATAACCACAAAAGCCAACTGTCTCTCATACACCAGTGCAATTAATGTCTTTGACTTTACTGTATTCATTGTTTAAGTAAATTCACTTCCTTAAACCTACCAAGAAACAGTTTTGAGGTGAACATACCTTCATCAGTGAAAATCCTTGCTAATTTCTGAATTCAGGTATATATGATGTCTATGTCCTAACTGATGTCAGAGTTTGGTCCAGACTCTCTTGGCGACAGTAATTTGAATCAAAAATTGCCATTCCCATCACAGCAAAAACAGTCCTGTCTAGGGTATCCAGCAAACCCTTCAACAGGCTCCAACATGCACAAAACTGAGCTGCCAAGGCTCTGACCTGCACTGAGCCCTGGCAGCACATCATCCCCTCTCTCCTCTGCCATCATTGGCTGCCAATCAAATCATCTATAGAACAAAATCCTCCTCACCAACAAATCTCTCCATGGTCCTGCTCCCTGGTATCCGACAGACGTTCTCTATTCCCAAACACAGCTACAGAAGTCCAGATTGTCAGACGTGTGCGTAAGTCAGAACTTTTGGAGTCAGAGCCTTGAGTGAGGCAGTCCTCCAACCTTGGTGGCTTTCTCTTTGCAGCAATACCCAACATAACATCCCGGGGCCTTTTTAGAAACAGCATAAATCAACTTCCTTAATAAGGCCTATGGACTTCAAGCTTGTACTACCTCTTTTGCCCCACTTTATTCATTCCACTCCCTTTTTTTCTCTTCCCTCCACCTGTAAAGGTCCTTGGGTCTCTCTAAAGGAACTATTGACAAACAATATCAAACAAGATTATCTTGCAGGCCCCTAGAAACGGTCAGGATATTAATATTGATGCTTTATATGGCCCGCAGAAGAAAAAAAGGACATAACCATGAGAAATACTGACTGTGTGTGTTAAGTTATTTTCAATGTCTGAACCACGCAAGCTTGTGTTGCTACACAGAGCACAACCAGCACAACCGCTTCCACCCTCGACTGTGAACCAAGTGCTAACATGATATTACCATTTACTTATTTTTAGCACAAAATCAATATTTCATACTTTCACAAAGACGGTTATTGTCATTACCAGTGTATAAGGGCAGCTTCACTGTAAATGCACTCTCTCTGTAGGTCTTTTATATGTTGTTTGGTCCAGTACTGTTGCTTTGCAGCCTGTTCTGACGTCAGATGTCACGTCCTGCTTCCACCTTTGCACATAAGGAACTCATCTTTAATCTGGAACCATAACCAAAACACATATTCACTTTGCATGAGTAGAAACAGAATATAGTCCTAATGCGACTGTACACACTGAGTCTGATCTAAATTATATAAAATTACAGCTATTAGAGCTGAATTACGTGCCATTCGCAGGCAGACAATTCAAATTGAGAGTGAAAATGGCGAACCCCGCCACCGACAATGAATACTACATTTTAAAGAGGTAATTACAGAATGTGAATAACCCGGGGAACTGTTGCTGAAAAATAACAAGCCATAAAAAGCAGGAAAAAAAAATAGGTTTTATGCCCTAACAATTATAAGGATGATATCTTTAAATGGGTGAATGGTGGTACATAAAAGAAAAAAATCCAGTTATAACCAGTCCATTTTAAAACAGCACAGGAGCGTGTCTGTGTTTACTGTTCTCTCAATAGAGGATTGTTCTCCCTCTCTGCACAAGGTCACAAGTATTGACTGGGTATTCTTGTATCTGATAATCACACAATATATCTTGTGGCTGCATTGCACTGTGGTCTATTGACGCCGCTGTTGGTGGTGGAATTGGTACCTCTGTCCGCACTATGATGGATTTCCTCCAGTATGATTGTTGAACATACTGGAGGTGCAAATTGGAAACTACTCGCATCTCCGGCTCCTTGTGAGGGATGATTCCTTTTATTGTTTTTTAACGGAGAAACACTCAGCATTTTCTTTTACATTTTTGCTCAGCTGTTTCCACGTTACGCAATATTATTTACGGCCAGATTAGAGAAAAAGAAACAACACAAGGAGGGAAACAGGCAACAGAAGTATTAAGAGTGTTATGGGTTTTTTTCAATAACTGCAATTCAGGCAGTTAAAAAAGATAATGTTCAAAATAATGCTGAAAAATCTCTCACTCTCTAACACAAACATGTTAGTGAGAAGCCCAAATTGTGAGCTGAGAGCCTCTAAGAGTGCTTGAGGATTTCTTTGGCTGCGACTATTGATCCAAGTGTTTGTAGATACTGTCTTTTCAACGATAAGAGAGGCTCCTTCTTATTGAAAGGACAAACAGAGTGTCTCCATCTGGTGCTTCACCTTTTGCCTCATCACCCTGACAAAAAAAAAAAAAAAATGATTCCTCTGGAGCTCGGCCAAGTCTACAGGGTGACCTATTACGCAGAAGTCTCAGCAGCACCTTAGGTAAGGTTTTTAATTTTTAATCAGTCGTTTATTTTTCTCATAAGCTTCAACACTTATGGATTTTTTCCCCCCCTGCACACTATGATATATTTACTGTAGAGGTCAAGGTAAAGTGTATCACTGCATCCTACAGACTCATTCCAGCCAGACAGCCAATGTATGAACAAACCAGGGATCTCACAGGACACCAGGCAGATGGCAAAACCACACAGTGTCAGCACTTTCCCCCCCTAGCAACCTGAGAGACTCACTATGGTCAAATGAAACACGAGATCTGGCAGACACCTTCGAACTCTATTTATATTACTCTCTGCACACTGGCGTTGTGCTTCAGAGAGATGAAAACACATTAATTGGTGCTCTGAAATAGATTCCCTCCAGTTCATAAAAACTGTCCACAAATGTCATAATACTGAAATGTCACACTGTATTACTGCCTGAGGTTGGTTTGATGAAAAAAGATGAAAATTTGAGGAAGTTGAGATTGATATCACACTCAGTAAATATGAGCTGAAGCTAGAAAGCCTAGCATAGCACAAGGACTGTGAACACTGAGTCGACTGATATGCTGCATTCTAGTCGCCTCAGAAGTTGGATGTCGGAGTTGGGAATGAGATCACACCCGAGTTGACAGCGTTCCACTAAACAAGTCAAAAAACCAAGATGTACAACCACTGTTGTAACAGTAGCCATTGTTAGCTCCACTAGTTGAAAACAATGCATAACATGATATTTTACAAATACAAACACCATAGTAACATGTCCACAGTTATGCTGCGTTCGAGTTACCTCAAAAGCAAGATGTCCAAGCTGGGAATGACGTCACACCCGAGTTACCAGCGTTTTAGTTACCAAGTCGGGAGAAAGCAAAATCGGAGGTGGAAACTAGATGGCTACATCTACGAGTTATTTTAGCACTTGCCTTGTCCTTGCTTATACTCGGACAAGGCAAGCGCTAAAATAACTTTCGTAGATGTAGCCATCTTGTTTCCGCCTCCGACTCGACAGCTCGGACTCCGACTTCCGAGGTAACTCAAGCTCAGCATTGGACATTGGACAGTACTACATTATAATACGCCACTTACCTAATCTCTCAAAAACAGAACTGCTAATAAATAATACATTACAAGAGTTGTCACTGTTTACTGTTGACCCACAGCACTGCCATCTTGAAGTATGACGTTGTGGTCAAGTCGTGGTTGGTGATGATCGGCTGACTTTCCGAGTCTGAAATCCAACTTCAGGGGCAGAATTCCATATGAATTTCCGACTCGGGACTCAGAAAATCGAACTTCCCAGTACAACTGAAACACAGCATTAGCCTCACTGCACCCAAAGGTGATGCTGTACAGGTTGCAGGTTATGGTTAAATGAAAAGAGGAGTTTTTAAAGATTTATGAGAGGCTTTCTGTTTGAAAATATGCTGGGAAGATTAAATTCACTCTGACTGTTTAACCGTAAATACACAACATGAGTTCCTAACTGTATTGTCCTAGCATTGAACAAAAACTAGTTTAAGAGCGATCCAGCTAGCCTGGCACACTCCAGAAATAACACAGTTATCGTTCATTATCATTTGATCTAATATCGAATTAATGTATGTTTAAAAAGGTATCATAGTTGAACTAAAAGCATCATCCTGACCACAAAGACATATCGCCAAGTAACACAGCAGACTATATGGTCCAAATGCATGAAACACAGGTATTTAATGCATGCGGTTTGCCCAGTCAGTGGTAAAACTAAGTGTTAAGAAGGACTGTCGTCTCACTGTTGCATCGATTGTATCCCAATCTAATTCTGTCCTGTCTCCGATGTCCCAGAGAGAGGTGGCTCACCACAGTTCAGATCCATCACCGGCTAATGCATTGTTGGACGAGATACAATTGTTTATTGTTTTCTAGCTTTAACCTGCTTCCCTATGATGTTCATTGATCTCTAAAGTGATCCGTGGTCCCTGGCTCCACATCATTTGTTCTTCCGTTGAAATGATTGGTTTGATCTCAAGGCCGGGCTTCAGCTGTAATTACTGAGATGGGATTTCAACTGTCAGCATGACGAATGGCCGTTTGACTTTATTTGTCTTGGCCTGCTATTGGCTGGCAGTGCAGGCCGTCACTGAGGTATTCTATTTCCTTTACTCAGCACAGAAACATATTGAATACCTCTTCCATCACTTCAACAGAAAACCTTTGGATAAAAACACAGATTATTTTCCCAGCACAAAATCCCCTCGGTGAGCAGAACGGCTTGACAAGTCAACTTTGTGTTTTTCCAAGAGGACCTTTTGTCTTGTTTTGTTTTCCTGCTGTCACAAACTTTGTTTCACTAACTTTTCCTCTCTGTTCTTGCACACTCATCGCCTGAGACCAATGTATTTTTTTTCATTTTGTTACAAATCATTAAGCTGGTTTGCAGCGGGGGGACTCGCAAGGGGCAAGATGCTTGCAGGTGCAGATCTCTGGAGGTGTTTTTCGTGCATCGATGAATACAGCTCCTGGCCCTGGCTGACCTTAAAGCCCTTATCCCTGAGAAAGAATCAATTGTGCAACCAGAGTGCCGGCGCCGGCTGCTGGAGCACAACAACAAAAGCTATGAGGGTTTTTTTTTCACATTACTGAATGAGCTGCAATTTTTCTATATTTGGTAAATATTTGTCTAAATGGACGAGGCTGCAGTTTGCCAAATGAATGAGCTATTTCTGTCAAGGCCGCTGATAGAAATGTTTTCTTTAACAGCCTGCACACAATGCCCCTGAATGCCCCTTTCACAGCGACCTGTCCATTAGCTGTTAAACAAGCTGTGGAACATTTTGTCTTTCTGGATGTAGCGACACCTCCGAATAAATTTTCTCCACAACAAATCAGGAAAAATGCAGTCAAAGCAATTCGTTTAGCAGCAAGCAAAAGCTGCGCAGTCTGAGGTTGTCAAGCATAATAGAACTTTTTTCTCCTCCTCAGAGCATTTCTTTTTTTTTTTTTTCTTTCGCGGCAGTGCTCTTTCCAGATCAATTATTCCCACTAAAATAAGTAAGAGGAGGCCATGAAATATTAATGCAGAGGCTGAGCAGGGGTTGAAAGCTTCCCTGACGCGGGGGTGTTGTATCTGTTTTATTTTTCATGACGATGGAGGGACCGTGGCGAGAAGGAGGCGCTGCAGTCGCTTGGGGCCGTTTCCGTGGTAGCTAATTTAGTCGGCGGCCAAAAACCCACCAGATGAAGCCCAAGTTGAAAGAAGGCGAAAGCTCAGAGCTTGGACCTCCCACCCTCCCTCTTCCGCCTCGTCTTCCTCCCAGTCCACATCAGAAACCGTCTGTTATCTATTATCCACACAACTACGGTTCATTATTTAGCGCCGCTGCTTAAACTGCTCACTCAAATTAGCTCCTCAGACGGGCAGGATGAGACGTGAGACAGTCGGTGTGTTTACTCCATGTGCCTCACAGCATTGTTGGCGTTTTCCTCGCCTTTCATCTTCCTCCGTTAGCTTGGCGCCACGGGGGCAGGAGCACAGGAGATGACTAAATGGGAGATTTGTTTGCCTGATTGTAACGCAGCTTAAACTTTCAAAGCCGTTGAAATACTAAATTTGACAAATATATTACCGTTATGTTATATTTTCACGTCTCCTTGTTAAATGAATGTGGGATTATGTTATCAGAACTACAGTCTTCTACCAAGCCCGACACTGTTGCACTAAGTTTAGCACGTTTATTACCTTGTTTAAAATGTTCCATGAAAAAGTAATGAGCAGCAGCCTATTCTCAGAACTCTGTTTTTACAGCTGCCATGTTTTATGTATTAAACATGTTTTTTTTTTCATTGTCCCCACCCCCCTCTGTGCTGTAGAAAGACTGTATCAGCTCTCAAATAAGCACAGCACCTACAGTACAGTGTGTGAAACAGGACAGCAGTGATGAGGCACATCTCACTGCTGGAGCTTTGAAGCTTTTTTGTTCCCACTGTATGCAAACCGAGCCTCCACCTGCTCATCAAACTGCTCATTTGTCGCTCTGAAAACTGATGTGCAGAGGATGGGATTGTTATTCATCAAACCTACAGAGCGTCTTTTCAAACAGTAAGGTTCACCGACTCTGGAAATGCTTTGTTGAACTTTATCAGGGATGTAAATTCAGCTCTTTGTTTTTATTAGAAAGTACAAGAGTATGTCTGAGGAGACTTTGCTTGAATCAGAAGTTAAAGGTGAGACAAGGTTACAGGAAACTGATTTGGATCTCATTTTTCTCTAGCTTTCAGATATTATTTGAAATGAAGATGAAATAAAAGGGTTGGCCCGACCAAATCACAAAAGGAGTATTTCACTTTCTGTCTCATCTTTGGTGGTATTTAGATGTAGAGATAGTTTAGGGGATTTTACTCAGGTTTTTGTGAAACTCTACTCCTTTAGTTTATGTCCCATCTGGATGAAATGAGGATGGATGTGAAAAGACACGTTAAAAAGAAATCTCAATTTCTGTTTTGTGCTCATTTGCCAGTTTGTATAATGCGGATGTATCTTTGTAATTACAAAGAGAACATCAACCAAACAAATCAAGGATGCGCAATATTTTCATTATTACATACCAGCCATCGTTTCACGCTGAAAGTAAGACAACGCAGCCGCAATAAAATCTCTAGAGTAAATTAGAGCTACAAGTATCCGAAGAAGAAAAATCAGCTTCAAGTTTTATAGTCATCGTTGCAAAAGCATGTTGATTAAATCTGAAGTAGCAGTTAGCATGGGCATCAAAACATCATTAGGTGCTAAAGTGCCGATTAAACAGACATCTTAGAGCTTCAGACAATCCCTCAGAGACGCTAAATTACTCTAAGTGTTGTTGTAATCAAAACTGATCCTGGTCAAGTGGTCTCAAGGCCAGTATTGAGGTCACTTTTTAAGACATCCTCTCAGAATTAGAGGCTTTTTATCTTGGTCTCTGTTCAGTCCCAGATTTTCATTTAAGATTTTAAATGAAGGCCAGAGATGGGTTATGTACTCACATTATGACTGTGATTTGAATGAAAATTGACATGCTTTAAAAGGTGTAAAGATGGCAGCCAACGCACCAGTTTCTGGAGTTTCTTCAATCAAGATTAAAACCAAATTTCTAGAGACTTAGATGCTTCCTGTGATTGCTCCTGTTTTTTACACATTTAAAGTAATTCATGGGCCTAATTTTATACTTTTTAGTAATTTATTCATTTTAAAAAATAAGATGTTTATACTGGCTTGTTAATGAGTGTGGCTTTAAGTAGGTATAATGACATAATTTTGGTTGGAAAAACTCATTAAGATTTGTGATTTTTCTGAAATGTGGTGCTCTGAAGATGAAAGTGCAGAGGAATGAGTTGTTACTGTAAAATTTAGTTAAAGCAGATTTGAATTGAAAATGAGAATTCATTTATTTGGTGTTAGTCTTGTTTTGATGTCACTTCATCTTGGTCTCAGTCCCTAAACACACATTGTTTATTATAAAAAGACATTACCTCTTACCTGCATGTTTAAGCTTAGTTAGCCTGTAAACTGTTCATTAAGTATGTGTGCAGAATACCTTCAGTGCTCCCATCCATTCATAAAACACACATGCTCAGTGTTATGTGCTCTAAGGATGAGCTTGATTTGCAGTTTATTCATTTTGAATTTCATGTGCTCTCACTCTGTCCACTGATCCAACAATATGATCTGATTAGCCGTGACACATTAATGCATTTTGATTTTCTTGCTCTGAGCGATGCCAGGCCCAATCCTTCACGCTAATGTCCATTTCCAGAACAAGACCCCCCCAAAAAAAGCAGGAAATCATCACGGAAAAGTGCACTGACTCGTAACAACAAGGAGCATTTAAACACTCAACAGGTTGTATCCTGTTCTTAACCTGCGCTTAATGTGGCAGATCTAAATTCTTTCAAACTTCTGAAAATTTAATCTGCTCCTATTTCCAGCGCTTTAGGTGAAGTGCTGGTGAGCTGTAAACAAACATCCAGGAGAAAAGGTTCGTGCACGACAAGCTGCAGAGCTGCACCCGCCCTTAAGAGGAAACAAGGCAACTGCTGTTGCAGTGTGTGAATTACAACAGCAGCCCATGAATATTTAAAAAGCGTGATCAGGAGAGAGCTCCATTATGTGAACTACTGAGCTGTAATGTCACGGCTGATTATGAGGAACGCTCTGTGTGCTGCTGTTGAACCGGTGAGATCGACACTTTGTGCTGTGAAGGAACACATGCAAACAGGTAGAGCTGTCAATTCATGCTGAAGTGCCTGCCAGCAAATGATTACATGGAAATAACCTCGGGTAAAGAAAAGGAAATTTACAATAACTGAGCTTGACGTACACATTGGTTTTTCTTCCTTTCGCTTATTTGTTTAAATGATTGGCTGGAAGTGAAGGGAGTGATACCTGCACATACAGAATATCAGGTGGAGTGGAGGGATACTGGGGTTAGGCATGTGCCGATACGAAAAATTTGCTATCACGATATTGGTGGCCCAAAATATCACGATTCACGATATTATCACGATATTAGCACATTGCTTTTAACGTTATTAAAAATGGCAAAAAACTGTAAAATCACTTCTCTGTGCACAGCATGACACGCACAAACAACATGAGCAAGAGGCAGCTACATTGGGAGCATTAGCTTTTTGGAGTTCATAGAGGTGGGCACGTAGGTTTGAAGTGTAAGAAAACGGCGCTGCAACTTATCTGCATTACCTGCAGATTGGTTTACCTGCTCCGTCTGTTTTGTGAAGCCGTAAAACGTCCGTACTGCCACCGAAACCTTTTTAATAGGAGGATACAGCCGAGGCGTTTCGTCATTCTCAGTCTCTGACTGTTCTTGGTCCGGCAGCATTGTTACATTGGTTGGAAGTTGGAACGTGTGCGTCAACTTTTTTTTTCTTCTTCAAACTGTTTCCGGTTCACAGAGCGGACACGCTTCAACAGTGCTTTGGGTGGCCGCAATGCATTGTGGGTGGCCACACATTTTGTTGTAAAATTTCTTCTTTTTCTCTTTTAATGTTCCCGTTGTTGTTAGGCTGGCATTATTGTACTTAATACAAGAGATTTTTTGGATTTGGGACTACTTTTGTGGTGGTTTGTTTGTACATTTTGCTACCAAGGCTTTGACACCGTGGGTAACACTACATGCGGGTTAGGTTGGTAAGTACTCGGCTTCGCTCGCTTCCGCTGAGTGACGCTGCCACTCGTCTTATTATTGTGTAACACATATCACAGTACCCTACGATTTCATCATCGCGGCCGTTTTAGATATTGCATATCACGATTAACTCGTATATCGGCACATCCCTAACTGGGATTAAATGTCACATTAGTAGATCTCCATACTTTATAAAACTTCAGATATTCAAGGGTCTTTTTAGTGAGTCACAGACAAGGATGGAGACATACCTGTAGTGATTCAGGGTGTTCATATCCCACAGTCTGTTTATCTGTTGTTGGCATTACTCTTAACAATTCAGGAGAGGCAGATCGTCCTGCTTTTGACAGGTTTTAACATTCACTTCCATTAATACTTTTTCCGTGAAACTCGTGTCGTTTTTCAAATTTTCGACGCGCTGACTCGAATGTCAGTTCCTTCACTGTGGGAAGTGTCACCATCTCCACATCCAGATACTGTATAACAGCGCGTGTACTACATTGATGTCTGTCACTTTCAGTGTTGTATTCGGCACTTCAGGCAAAAGCTTCACCGACTTCAAGCTGTCAGCTGGCAGAGATGGGAGCTGCTCGACTCTGCTTGGTAAAACCTCAAATTCAGGCTGTTTTCTGATTTCATGCAGATCTTGTTGGTGCTGATATTGTTTGTTTTTTTTTTGTTTGTTTTTTCTTGAAACTGTGCTGACTCAGCCTGGGAATCTGGCTATAAGATGTTGTTGACTAGAGCCCAAGCACCTGGGGAAACTATCACAGTACAAAGCACCAGAAACGTCAAGTCATAACATCAACCTCTTCCTCTCGTCTGAGTGCCACACAGTCAGAAGCTGCCTCCTTTACATCTCTGCTAATCTCAGGGGTGCTGCAGCAAATTAGAGTTTAGAATTGATGAATTATGGCATCTGTCCACGCGGTGTGCTCCTCTGCCCTCCAATCAATTTAAGTGACTTTCCCCCCACGGTGAGAATAGACTTTTTGTTAAATGACTCCATAAGAAAAATTATAGCTATAAATCCGCAGCCAACACCAGCTGTTATGAAGATTTATTACTGTAGTTAATGTTAATACTCCACCCAGCCCCGTCACATCAGACGCAGGGGCCGCTGTAGGTCAGCCAATGGGGTTATTCTTGTTATTTCCTCGTCCAGAGTGAAATTAGTCTGACAGTAAAACGTTGGAGAAAAATCAACTGTTTCTGTGATAATTGCCGGTTGTCGGGTTTAAGGTGGGCTCGTCCTTGGTGAGCCTGGTTGTTAAAGGATTGTTTACAGCGGTGAAAGGGCCAGATTGAGTCATTGACATCAGCTGTTTGTCTGTTTGAAAGCTGCAAAATGTGAAGGTCCGCTCAGAGAGGCTTTAACACCGACCATTCAGCGACGCCTTTGGGGACACACGCGAGGGGGAGGGGGGCACAAACACTCACTGCCCACAACAAAAGCAAACGGTTGCATAATTCTCTAAGGTTCACGGTTATAGAAAATGTTAATAGATGTTTGTTTTAAATGATGCGTGTACGCAGTGTGTGGATAAGAAGGTGTGGGCGAGATAAAGAGAAAGGGAGAGAGAGTCAAGGCTTCCCTGTAGGGTGTAGGTGGTTGTCATGTGTGTTTAAAGCATTACCCTCATGGCATGTTTGAGAGTAAAATCGGTCAGATGGTTGCAGTTTTAATTTTGACACCAAACTTTAATTTAGTTTTAGTAATTTTCAGAAAACTAGGGTTGAGATGTGAAAAACAGTTTGGCCCACCCCACCTCTTAGTTTGATTCATCAAAAATAGCAATATTAAAAGTGTAAATCTTATTGTTGGTGCTCTTGTTTACATTTAAAAAACATTAAACGTAGGGCTGCACGATATATCGTTTAAGCATCATCATCGTGATGTACGTGTCCGCGATAGTGACATTGCAGAGCCTGTGATGTAGGAGGTGAATGAACTCATCTAATTTTAAGGGTAGCTGACTGAGATACACTGCATGTGACTCTACATGTGCAGTGCAGCGATCCACCAATCACTTTCATTCTTTACTTGATTGCCAATTAGACTACCCTGCCAGCCGTCAATCAACATCAGAGAGGAGGAAACCCACCCCTGCACATGGAGTGAGTCGCTGCGCTGCCAGTGTTGTGCCGAGAAATGAGTGTTCGCTGAGAATTACTTTGGGAACATTACTCATCACTGTTTAGCCCGACAAATAAGAATTGTACACGTTTTAAATTGTACATTTTCATGGACTACTCTACTATAAGCGGTGTGCGTTTTGCAAGGTACATGCGTTTCTCGGCACAACACCGTTAACAACAACAACGGTTGCAAAATGAGCAACGAACAAGAGAAAATGAAAACTTGTTGCCAAAAAGAAAAGGAAAGTCAGTTATCTGGAATTATTTCGGTTACAAGAGGGATGATGTCGACCAAAACGTGTTCTGTGTTCATCTGTTGCCATAATAACATCCCAGCACAATAAAAGTTAAAAATATCTCTAAGACAGACAGAAGCCATTCTACTAACATTCACAAAAAGAGATAAGATCAACGCAGGTTAATTGTCCACAAGATTTCAGCATAAAGTGATATTCAGGTCATCTGGTGAAAATTCCTGTATTTTTTTATATCGCAATATATATCGCAGGGTTGAAAAAAATCATTGTTAGTTTTTTTCAATATCGCGCAGCCTTAGTAAAAAGGCATTAGGATGAATTTCAACCTTTTTTACAAATATCAAAAAAATACTCACGGGCGCTTTAAAGCAAACAAATAATTGTTTTTATCATGTCAAAATCAGAGACTGTGGTGCTTTTCAGGGGCAACAACATCCCATAATACCTACTAGTGTCACACTCTGACAGTAGGTATGTTAGGACACTCAGTTATTGTTTTTTTTTTTTTTTGTTTTAAAAGGCAAATCTAAAGTAGAGCCCTTCATAGAGCTTCTGCAAGGAAGAGATTACTGTGTATCCTAAAAAAAAAAAATTCAAGGTATGTCTTACAATCTTCAATTGTTGCCTAATATCATCACATCCAATGTTTGTCATTGTGAGCTGTCCTTGTCACTGCCGCTATTAAACAAGTTTGTTTATTTGTACAGATTTTAAGAGCACACTGCAGTTTCACACTGGTACATCATCAGAGCCTCTGCTGCCATGGCAACCACCAAAATCTCATGTGCTTATTGATTTAAATGCCACCCCCATGGAAACTCAATGACATTTAAGTTATTTATTGGATTAAATAAAGTACTGTTCATTACATATTTAGACCGCACAGTGGTCCAGAAGCTGAAAAACAAATGTGGTGCTATAAAAGAGAGGGGATGTTTTTCTTCTCTGCTACACTCACAGTTTGTCGGCCAGCCGACCACAAAACTTGTAGTGGATGTTTGCTTCACAGAGCAGGTCAATAAGGATTGTCCCAAACAAATTGAATGTTTTTGCTTCCTTCTGTGAGCAGCTCAGCGATGTTTATCAGAGATGGATCCGAAACAGCTGACAGAGTTTAAGAGGCTGGGTGCAGCAGATCATGAAGGGACTTTGAATTGACATTTTTCTAAAAACTTTCCATATATTGAGAAAAGAATGAGAGGAAAATGGAAAAACTGTAAGAGTGCTACATTTCCACCACAAAATTCCACCACAGACATATAAATAACAGCTTTTTCAAGGGTTCACTAAGGGACAATATGACTCTGCCAAGGATCCAGAGGCCCATTAAACAAAAATAAAACTCCTATTCACTTATTAACCAATCTATATTTTAACATTTACATCAACAGCTCATTTGTAAATCAACATTTGGACAGAAAATTGAGTTTTACCTCTTTATAACCCATAACCAAACCTAATAATACACACCATTTTATAGACAAGACAATCATAGTTTTGTCTCCAACTCGTTTATCTCCATATATTTCAAGATGTTGTTCATCCTTGCAAACCAACAGAATGAGTGCAAACATAACTGTCTTGATAATATAGCATGCCAAAAAAAGTGGTCTCCTATGGTCAACTTACCCCGCGCAATGCATGACGGGATGACCATCGGATGGTCTCTCCATTTGGCAATGCTCTACGGGAAATTTTGAGTCGCCTATATAGGGCATCGAAGTTGATCACTCAGGTTTCGGACACCACTTAAAAATGGTGCTAACCCCGTATAGTCGCCTATACAAGGGTTAGGGATCCATTTCAGACACACGACTTTATTAGCCCTCTAAGCTAAAATGGTGGACTTTTATGCTAGTTTTTTGACCTCATGTTGTAGCTCATAGATACCACAATTGATGTATAAAACATATATAAAATGATCTTTTTTGGTCTGAACACAATTCTGATAAATTTAAGACAAACTAAATTCACTTTCAAGAGTTAATTTTTTTTAAAATAAATGTCTAACCTCTTCACCCATGTACTTCTAACCTTCACAGACTCCATGAATTGATGCCCATTTCCTAAATATTTGGTCACATGATCAATTTCTTTTACCATTTCCAAACAACAAAAGGTAGCTCAATTTACCCCACTCTCCCCTACATGATTTCGGATTAACAGAAACACCTCTTACCCAGCAGGAATCCCACAGATGACCGCTGAGTCCACACACTTGATGAGGTGATATCCGGTCTCGGTAACCTGCGTCCTCCATCTTGTCTCTCTGCTACAATGGCGGCGGCGATGCTAACACAGCTAGCTCCATCGGCAGAATTCAGCCCAAAACACACACAAAACTGAGCACGTTAACAGGTGAACACTAAAATATCCCGCTGGAGCATAAACAGTTTAAAAAATAATGCAAAAATAGTTTTTCTCTCTCTTTTCACTCAACTTGTTTACCTGTATCCTTCTTCTCTCCCGTTTCCCTCCTAGTCCCGCCCCTCAACCCTGATAGGTTCAGAACAAGCAGCGTGTCTCTTTTGATTGACACCTGTCTACCCCTGTTAACAACTCATTACAGGCCGTGATATGTTCAAAGTCAATACGAAATCAGAGAGTTTACAAAATTTTAAACCTTTTGGGGGTTTATTCAGTTAATTGTGACATAAAACAATTGGAATTGGAATATGGTTTATAACTTATTTTTTCCCAGAATAATGCACAGCTCTGTTACAATGTAAGATTTTGACGCTCAAACCGCTCTGTCGCATCTTTCGCCATGGTAACTGTCGCTGAGGATCATGGGAAGGCCAATATAGCCTCCAGGCACGTATGCTCTAAACAGCCGCACTGAAAATCGATAATTGTAAATAAGATTTATTATTTCATTTTCGTTTCCTTCTCTATTATTTATTCTGTTTTGAGCTGAAAATACAAAAACAAACACGAATTTTTTTTTTATTTTTTGGTAATACAGAAAAACAAATAAACAAAATACTGACTTGTTTTTTCGTTTACTAGATTGAATAGAATAAGTAAATGGACGGATAATACACGGACTCAATAACTCCAGTATTCTGCACTTTTGCATTTGCTGAATATTTAATAAAGAAATTTTCTATTTGGTTATTTGTGATGCCCTTATTCTCATATACACCCTCAAGAAACTTCTACAGACCCAAATAAAAGAGAGAAAAAAAACGAAAACAGTAAATGAAAATGTCACCCCCAAACTTCGACCCTTGCTGAGAACAAAAAAGTCATTAACACATTCCAATCAGCAAAACAAAGTAAAACAATTAACTGGCTCCTCCACAGTGGGCTTTAATAACACCACTTTAGCAGCACGCTCCTCTTATTGCTTACAAGGTGATGTGGGGATGTTATTGAGATTTGGTTTAAAACGGCGCTCAGAGTGGGCTCTTGTCATTACACAAACTCCAAGACATTTCATCCTGGCATGCCGAGAAGTCAAGCCTGAGCCAGAAGCAGCAGTACGGAGGCCTAATTGAACTCTCTGTGATTCCCTCTCAAGGGCTATTCTCAGTGCTCATTATCTTAGCCCCAGTCTCCGTAAAGACCAGATGACTTCGCTCTGACTTTGAACCTCCCTCTCCAAACAGGTCAGTCCAGCTCCCTTTGTCCTTTCATCTTCCTTTTGGCTTTTATAAATAAGCGCTTTTCTCCGGAGGCACAGTTGCATCACCTCAGACAGCTGCCAGCGGTGGCTCCTCTCAGAACAAAAAGGAATCCAGGCAACTCTGCTCTAATCACTTTTGTCGTGCTGCGTGCTGACGATGCCAACGGACTAAAAATACAAAGATAGAAATGAGAAACAGAATTTCCAGGACTGTTGTTCCCCTTTTGTCATTTTTACAACCTACTGTGTTCTACATCCTGCTACTGAAAAGCCTTTTTGTGCATCCACTGGAATTCCTCATTTTAACACAAAAACACCCGCCAGCCACGATCAAACAATCATTACTGAGTAGCAGTTGGAATCATCATTTATAGCATTTAGATTTGTTCACACACATCTTTCTGTTTACTTAATAACAGCAAGAGATCCCAGCGCCTACTGCTGTCCTGTAGCTGTTTTTGTGTCTCTCTCATTCTCCAGTGTGTTAATACTTACATTTAACGCGTCAGCCACAGCCAAAGATGTGACGCTATACAAATACAAGCTCTGCATCATGGGAGAGGGTATTTCCATATCCAGATGGCCTTTTAACAGACATGCTGTGCACTACTAAGAACAAAAGGGCTTTAGATGCTTCTGTGGTTGTTTCACAGTGTCTTGTCCCTCAGAAAAATCCCCCGACTAAAATGATCAAAAGCTGAACAAGGGAGTGAAACGAGGCTCTCGGTTTCACCATTTGTGATCTGATTATTTTGAGATATTTATAGATTAAGTTGATTAAACGATCGAACATTATCCTCCTTTCTGATTGGCACTCATCAGCTCAACTAAGCATGAACACTTTTATTGTTTTAAGCCTGAAAATCCATTGAATGAATTTAAATTTTCTTTTTCTAGTGATCAGGTAATTAGAGTGGCAAAGTGACAAGATGGGAGGACACCATTATGGGAGGACAGCAGTGTTAATAGTTGGGTAAGAAGCATAGACTGTATAAAGAATGGACGCTGTCTGCCTCCTCGCTGGGTGAAGCCACTCCGAGAACAGCACCCTCTGGTGACGGGTTGCAGTATAGGTCATAAATCCCGCCTCCACCAGCAAAGCTTATGGAGCTGTGGACAAACTTTAGAAATCTATTACACAGAATATAAATTTTTCTCCCCCCCTACTTGTGGTGTTGACATGTAGTTACAGTAAGATTGGTTTGAAGCTCCGTTGTTAAAAGTTATTAGGGGGTTCATGTTTTCTTTGATTGACACCTGATACAGCCTATGGGCGTTCAGGGATTGTGTAGCTCACCTGTGGGATACGCTGTTTGAGCCGAGCGTCATCACAGCGACTCTCGGCGACTCTCCCGCCGAATGCGCACAACACTGCACAATGCTGGTTTCAGGAAATGAAGAAAAATCATGGAAATACCGGGAGCTTTTTGGCTTCAAATCTGTATACAGGCAGGAGGCGGAACCAAGTTGTCCGTAGTATATACAGTCTATGGTAAGAAGTCACCATTTACACTCGACCCACTACTTCTCACACTCCATATATTTTTTTTTTAACTGCAAGGAAAGAGCGTTTTTACTGTCTGTCCAAGGAATTGGTCTCAGATTCACACCAACAAGAGTAACACTTGTTCTACCTTCTGTTTGCTTTGTTTAACCTCAACACAGGGAACCCTTAACCTCAGTTTAACTCAGCATAAAAGTAAGAAAGCACACCTCCCAATATCAAGTCAATTCTCTCTTCCTGTGAAAAGCTTCTGGTTTGTGTTGTTCTCGCGGCCCCTGTGGACAAACCGTACCCTTTATGTCTTCGTTGATCTTGTCCTGTACATCAGAAAAAAGCATCTCTGACTCGCTTTTTTTGTTTTTGTTCATTTTAGCTGGTGGTTTTTTGTGCGGGGCAAGGCGTTAGGAAACAATTACAGTGAAAGTACAAGCTTTTTACTTCAAAACATTTCCTGTTGAAAATGCAAACAAAGGCTGTCGCTGCTCGTTTTGTCTGGCGCCTACTTTGGCAGATGTTCAGGCAATAAAAATGAGTTTATTTGAATATACTCCATTTTCTCTGTAATGGTTTATTTACGCTTGTAGGTCAGGTAAATTTCAGTTTGTTTCACAACCAGCTAAAATCTTCTCATCATGACTTTTAAAGACTGTTTACCTAATCTAAAAGTTGCGTAAAAACTAGAGTAGCATTCAGAGGACAGTGACTAGAGCTGAGGCCATGTTTGTGAGTGGGATCAGCTGTTATTGCTTATTGATGCAGATCAGTTATGTGATGTGATGGGTTTTCTTCTCATCCTTCATACTCGCACCTTTAAATGGCGCGCAGTACTAGGCGTGCAGCATTGTCCTTTTTGCCACTTTTCTCCTTCAGTGGATCAAAGCCATACGTTCAGAAAAATCAATAGTAAATCAATAGTAATAAGACTTGTTGAGTGGTAATTTGATTGAAATGACACCTCTATGAGTGAAATGGTTGCAGGCACTGTCTGTATTTTGCAACCCTCAAAGCTACTCTTTGCTAAGCTCAAGTACAGAAACAACTTTAAAAAAGAAAAATCTACGCAGCTGCATAAAATCTGCACATTGTGGACTTAGCCAAATGCAACTGAAGACATTCAAAAGTGCCCCAAAAAACAAGATATGTTTTATTTACTGGTGCAAATTAAATGTCAGATGTTAGATAAAGATATTTAATCTGATGTTTTTTAATTTTTATCATTCAGTTATGGCTTTTGATCTGATCATCTCAACTGTCGGTGTCATAATTTTGTTTATTTGTTAAGATTTGATTTTTTATTTTTAGTTTATGATCAATGTTTTGATGAGCTACGGCAATATTTTTACAATTAACTGCCTGAGGGAATATTTTTACATCTTATTCTGTCTTGTAGTGGCTGGATTGTTCATCGCAGATACATCACATGTTTTCGTTTACCCAGAAAAGCTTCCCATCCGTCAGACTAACTTCAAAAACCCTCGTTCGGTTTACCTTTGACACCAATTTGGCAGACCAAAATAAGATACCCCACTTCTATGAATCCTTTTTGAAGATCTAACGTATGTTTGGTAGGAAAGCAGTCTTACACTGCGCGTGTGTATTTCTGTTCCTCTGCCTCTCGACCTGCGTTCGGTGGGATGAACTCCTGAAACCAGTAACCTTGAACGCCAATAAATCCCACCCCCGCTTGATTTATTTTCACTTACAGCAGCACATGGGTCATTTGTTGAAAGAGTAACCTCCTTTTAACTCTGTGACCGCAGCCGTCCTGCAGTTTCTTCTTCAGGCCCACAGTGAAGGGTCTTCATATCTTCTGCTCTACCAGCACACCCTCCGCTCTCTGTGTAAGACATCAGGCAGACCGGCACGGCTCCCCGAGCTTTGAAGTTTGTTTCAGAGGTACATCAAAGGCAGCAGCAGCATGGATACATGGATGACACATTTAATTTGGTTAGCAAGCATTTCACAAATTTACGCCATCAATTAACTCATGATGGACATATAGTGGGTAATTACCACCGAACTATAAATAGCATCAAAGTTGAAGAGCTTGCGTCTTTACAAAGCTATACACTGACGAGGTCTTACACAGATGTCAAAAAGCTACAGATGTCAAAAAGCTTATTTGAATATGAGGACACGCCATGACTGCACATTTACCACAATAATACCCCTTACTTATATTAGCCGTGATGTTCCCATTCTTTACATAAAGCCGCCCCACATCTTCAGCAAACTGTCACTCACCTGTCAGCCGTGTTAACACTCACCACACACAGCTACAAAAAAATAATTACCTCCCACGCTTCGGGATCTTCTGACAGGCAATTATAGTGTTTAAACATACATGAATACACCCTCCAAGCGGGCCATGTATTGTAGAAAGCGGAGTACTTAATGGACTGTGAGTAAGTCAGGTGTTGCATTTGTTTCCCGGTAAAGTGAATTATTCATTGTTGATGTTTTTGAATGTATGTATATAGAAATGTATAGAGGTTGCCGGGTAATGCTTTCCGGCTCTGCAGATAGTCAGAAGTATTGAAGTGATTGACTTTCAGCGGAAACCACAGGGGAGAGCGGTGACGTGATTATGGCGTATGGGCTCTGACTAAACAGACGTCAAAGATGACACAAACTGCGCTGTAAATGTTGTTTGTGCACGTCTGCTTTAAAGGCTGAAACATACAGGATCCATATTGAGTGTGTATCATCAGCGTCACGTATCACGCAGCAATAGGTTGCCATTCTAATCAATGCAGCTCCGTCGCAGCTCAGTATCTGAAGCATATTGAGAGCAGCACTGCTAAAGATACCTTAAAGATACCTAAAGATACCTAAAGATACTAATTTCCCCTCGGGGATCAATAAAGTTCTCTATCTATCTATCTATCTATCTATCTATCTATCTATCTATCTATCTATCTATCTATCTATCTATCTATCTATCTATCTATCTATCTATCTATCTATCTATCTATCTATCTATCTATCTATCTATCTATCTATCTATCTATCTATCTATCTATCTATCTATCTCTACGCTTCCAGTGCATGTCAATGTACACAGAGAAGATCGTTCTAGACAGAGTGTCAAGCACGAAAACCCCGCATGTCATCCGGTATTTCAAATAAAACCCCATATGCGAACTCCCAACTGTGTATCAGTTCATGTAGATGAGAAATACTTCCTGGTTATTGATTCATCAGTAACACAGAACAATCTGATGGTCAATCCCTGATCCAATTGGACCCCAACTGGACTTTTAACTGCTAACTCTACCTGAAGGTAACAGCACAGCATAAAGGAGCATAGTTTACTTTATTAAACATGAGTAAACCTGCAAAAACCGAAACTGTAAAATTCTTGTTGCTTTTTCACATACAGTAGAGGCTCAACAGTCACTGAATTATACCCAAATTAGCAGGAAATAGACCACAGGGCATGTTGTTTCCTCTATACTGAGCCCAGCTGACTGGGGCTGCACTACGCTGCTGCCACGCTAAAGTTTTCAGCTTAAGTTAATGTCTCAAGGTGAAGCCTGCATTGCTATCAGCCAACACCAGCAACCAATATGAGACACTTGAGCTGTTTGCATGGATTTCCTCAAATCTACTCACCCAAGTTGTTTGCGATCCATCTTCCTTTTGGTGACGGGAGATCTGGCTCCTTTTACTGATTCAGACCGTTTGGCTCCGAAAGACCGGGCTCCCTGACGGCCCCTTTACAGCACCATGTTGGCTCACGGGAGCTGGATCTTGTAGCCAAGTCATTTACTACCAATACAATGCCAGCCACAAAATGCTAATAATTTGGCTTGATTGAAATGAAAATGCTAAGCTTGATGTTAATCCAAAGCACAAGTGAGCTGACAAGGAAATAGTGCCAAACATGGAACCGGGAAGCCTACTTCCAATTTCAGTCAGTACAATCATCTTTAAATCAATATTTGGTATCACCGTGGTAACATATGTTATCGGTAGCAGATTAAAGTGTAGGACAGTATATATTCTGTGTATGATTATGCGGGTTGTGATGCCAACGGGATGACTCAAAGCTTAAGGAATCATAATCCAGTCATATATAACATTGAAGATGGTGTAAGTGAACTGATCTGACTGAGCTTTGGGTTAGAGGTTTGAGAGCCACTGATTTAAAGGACTTAATCGCTCACACAAATACAGTCGCACTTTAATCCTGTTGATCCTGAAGTCAATACCTGCATGGAAAATAAGATTAGGGCCAGTATTACTAATGCGTTATATTCCACCGAGATTCACTTGAAATTGTTTTTTCTGGGAAGTCTGATCTGTGACAGGGATCTAGATAGAAAATAATCTGTGAATGGCAGATGTGACCGCCACTGGAAACTGAAACAGAGACAGAAACATCCTACGCTTGTTTTTCTCATGATAATTCTTGGCTTGATCTACTTTATTTCCAAAATCCAATCAGGTATTTAGGGAAATATTTTCATCCCAGTCTCTTTAGTCATCATTTATTTGCCACCAACTAAGAAGCATGGTGATTATTTCTCTGAAAAACATGTGTTTCTCCCAAACATGCCCACTTCCTCTGAACTCTTAGTTCAAGGTATTCTCTAATTACGAAGACAGGTTTACAGGGAGATAAAGAAAATGACTATGCGGATTCGCACAACTCTCACATTTGTCTTTATGAGGAATGCAGATCTTTGAAAGTGTGAATAAACCAAACAAAACTATGTGGAAATCTTGGATGCGACTTCTTGGAAAGCTACCAACTCCCCGCTCTGTGCTTTGATCCTATTTAAATGAAGGCTACCCTCAACAAAACGGCCTCTAATTATTTCGTCTTTGATTCTGAAATGAAAATACCCCCGAGACTCTGGTGGAGGTCTGAAAAAGCTGCAGCTAGAGCTCGTTTTTCTCGGTCCCGCATGCTCTGTAAACCAGCCCTCCACAAACACCAAGACAATGAGAATCAAAAGGATTGGAGACCAGATTAAATCGTGCGTTCAAAGGGAAACACAGGAAGGCCTCGAGTCAATGTGTTATCCTAGTTCTCCCAAGAGTTTGTCTGCTGTGGTTCCAAATGGCACCCACCTATTGAAAAGTTTAATCTGCTTTCTTCACTCTGAGAAAACACAATGGCAGCCCGCCATCTCTCTGCTGCTGGATCATTAGATTCATCGCCATAACCCAAGTGGAAGTGTGTGGGGAGGGGACAGCGGACAGAAATATCTTACCCTCTTCTCTCCAGAGGACAGCTCCAGCCCTCTGATTCTCACCCCGCCGACTCAGAGCCCACCTTGACATTTCGAGCTAATGACACTGACCGAGGGCCCCGGATTTCTCCTGGCTTTGAACGTGTGCGTGCCATTTCTGTGATTGAACTAATAACGGATTCTTAGATGTAATTGTGCCGGTCAGCCCAGGATTGCTGTCGAGGAAACAGACTGTGAGGAATGACTTCATGTCTCCTGTGTTTTCCACAGTAACTTTTGGTTTTCTTCTTCTCCTATTTCTACTTTTATCACAGTCTACTGTCACACTCAATGTTTGTGCTCATTTATATTGTGACCCAATGAGACTACCAAACACAAACACATGAAACACTGCATGTATGAGCTTACTGTGCTCTAATTTGACAGCATATTGAAAGGTCATTTCAGCTGTCCACATTTAATTGTTTTCGGGCACACATCTGTGAGCATATATCACCATGGTAACACTGGGTTACCTGCCAGTCAGGGTTTTTTTTAGGTTTAGGCGCTAAGATGACTTAATTAAAGGTGGGGTAGGCAGGATTCCGTTTAATATCATTCAGTAGCTATTAGTTATTGATGACATTTGGTAATATAATGATATCGCTTTGTTTTGTTATGTCTGTGTGGTCAACATTTTAAATTTTTTTGCGCGGCCCGCTCTTTCGGACAAAGTCATTCTCCAACTTCCCCAACCTGATTGGTTGTGAGGTGGACGCTGCTCCCCCTGTGTCATGAGGCACGCACCACCCAACGTTTATGAGCCCAAACAAAGTTAGCGTGCGACAATATCGGACAGTAGAAACCAACCGGAAAGTACAGAAAACTGTCTGAATCCTCCTTTGACTGCCAACACAAGCAAGTAAACGAAGTAAATACCAGAGACTCTGGCGGAATAACGGGCGCTTAAAAGGGAGGTAGAACCTTTCTGCTGGACAGGTAAACCGCTTTAACAAAGTAAGCCAAGTGTCTGTAACAGAAGTGTTACTTGTCAAATGGGACCTGCAGCGTGTTGTTGCGCCGCTGTACTGTTGACCTCGGGTTCTGGACTATGTCACTTTATCCTCGTTGTAGAAGTCCTGCAAACATTGTGTTTGCTGGTAGTCTGTTGGCATCTACAGTAGCACTGGGCCCCATTTGTAATTATCTGAAGTATTGATCTGCATTATATCTGAATTTAATTGAAACGATACGAGCGAGCAGGAGCGTCTGTTTGTGGGCGTGACTTAGGGGAGAGGAGGAGCTGAGGGGAAAAATGGTTGGGAGGGGTAGTGTTTACATTCAAGATTTCTCCCCAAAACTGGCACTTCCTCAGATCCTGTAAACCCCACCTTTAAGGTAAAGATGATTTAAGGGGTTGGTGACACCACTTTTGAGCATTCATAACTTCAAGTGTTTTACTTTATCTAAACTTCAACTCAGTTAAAGAAGATTTGCACACTGTGTCCCGACTCTAATGGAACTGGGTGGTGTGAGCTTATAGGTTAAGGCTAAATTTGATTCTCTCTGGAAACTCAAAAAGTCTTTCTTTATGATATTTGGACGCAGAATGACATGGTTCCTTTAGTCTGCTAATAAAAAACAGCATGAAATCGCTGGTAAAAATGGAACTGTGATAACGTTCAAATGTCAGAGGATGTTGCTATGGTATTACTGAACCTTTTTGTGAGACCAGACAGATGGACTTAGATTTCTGTCCCTTATTCAGTCCCAGAGGATAAAGCTTTCTTGTTGTTTTCTTGCCACTCTCTAACATAAAAGAGTTTTTAAATCTTTTCTCAGTCATTCGAACAGTTTAAACTTACACAACCACAGAATAAGACAGTTTTTTGGTGCTCCAGGATTGTGTTCACATTTTTAATATTTGCTAAGAAAGAGTGACAGAGGTATGTTGCCACAGCCGAGGAGTGCTGCACGTGTCAGGTGTGTGAATGGAATCTTAAATGAGGTGGCATTTTAGGGAATACTCGTATCTGCTTTTCTGCCAAGATTTCGATCAGAAGATCAATACCTGTCTTATGTCTGTATGATGAATGTGCAGATACAGCCAGCAGCCAGGTAGCTTAACATAAAGCCTGGAAAGAGAGAGAGGAAGAGTTAGACCGGCTCTGTCAGGAGATAGCAGAATCTAATTCCAGCACAGGATATATAACATAGCACACAGCTCTGTATATAAAAAAGGATTTTTTTTTTGCACTTTAATGCAGTTAAAGATCAAAATAACACTATATATAATTTGTTACTACTTTTCTGTAGGGTGACCATATTCTGAATTCCCAAAAAGAGGACTACGGGGGCTATATATGTTTTTTTTTTGTAGGAGGGTAGGGGAAAGTCCCGCCTCCTTCGCCTCTGATTGGCTAGAAAAGCTGGAAACGTCATCACACGTTCAAGCCAAACACGGGCTGTCGGCTCTATACATCGAACAGAACATTACAGAACGTTATCGCACTTCTGAATCTCTTAACCCTAACCCTAACCTGACGGACGATGACATTTCACAGCCGTAAGGAATAACCAATCGGAGCCCAGCACTTATAGCCAATCAGAGGCGAAGAAGGACGGGACCTTCCCCTACCTTCCTACAAAAAAAAATTCGCCTGGAGGGGTCACACAAACTTAATTTTCAGAGTTTTTCAGGTTGGCTCGACTGTCTCTTACTGTCTCTCCTAACTCAGTAAGTCCACGTGACACAAAATCGAAACTTACGTACAAAACTGCAGACATTTGAAGGATTTTGTAAACTTCCCCGGACAAGCCCGGACAGCCCCCTAAAAGAGGACATGTCCGGGTGAAAGAGGACATATGGTCACCTTACTTTCTGTGCTACATACTTGATTTTCATTGGTTGAAATTTCATTCATTAATATTTGGTTTTTCAGCAGTAGAAGTGATGCTGAGGAAATCCAGATCCCGCACGTCACAAAGATGCCAAACCATCAGACCATGAGGACTCCAGCACATTTCTCCTCTGCCTGTTGACACTGTGGCAAAAACACTAGGTTCTGTCTCAGGTCTTAGTGGACAGGAAATGAGGTCGGTTACCTGACACAGGTGTGAGGGCAGCCTGAGGAGCCCCAACTCTGATAGGAAACGGTGGAAAAAGATCTTGTCCTGCAATCCAGGCAACAGCAGAAGAGCTCGTAAGTGTACTTTTGAGTTACCAATCCTACAAAGCAACTCAAACCATATTACTATTTACACAGACATTACCTACCTTTCCAGGACTTAAGAGACATACAAATGTAATAGTTTGAATCATTTTAAGTCATTTTTGGCTAAGAATAAGTGTCTTTTGTCTCTTTTTTGTGGTATTTTTTTCAAGTACATCTTCTTTCATCTTCATTTTTCATCAAACAGAAGAGTTAACTGAATTTTCAATGAATAACTCAATCTGTTTTGGTCTTTTGAAGTGTTTAACATCTTGTATCCGAGTGCTTTTATGTGTTACAGTAATCACTGTACATTAGCAGCGTAAAACACAGTGTAAAAATATTGTTCCAGGGAGAGCAGTGAAGTGTTTTCCTGTTTGTACGCTCTCTGGGGTGATTTTACATTAGGCGCATTAAGCCTGTAAATGTGTCACCTGAACAGCGGGAGATAACTGCTGTGCTTTCTTAGTTTTTTTTTTCCAACCTCTGAAGCCTCTACCTTTGATTTTCCTCTGCTCGCAGCTTTGCATTGATACCATCTGTCAGGAATGGAGAGCTGGTGGAGTTGAGAGGAAAGAGGAGGAGAGGGGGTTCAGCACTTCGCCGTCTGATTAATCATGCTAATCAGTGATGAGAGGTTAGAGGTCCATTAACCTGTTCGGAAACACCAAAGACTGCCATGCCTCTGAGGGTGGGGATCCACTGGAGCACCAGCCACAGATGGGAGGGAGAGCGAAGAGAGATGGCGCCAACCCCCATGGAGGCAAACCCCAGACAGGAACACCTGCTCTGATGATGAATTAAGGAGAGATGACAAAATATGGTTTGAGCACTCCAAATACCCCAGCGGTGCCCGTAAACCCGCCTCAGGAGGGCCAGAACCAAACAGGAAACAAGGATAAACCTACACTCAGCTAGCATCACAAAAATAGCATTTGATGTGGTTTGCGTTTCTATTTAAATCATAATGAGCTGGAGATTACAGAGGCGGCACTCGATGATAGTAGGTTCTTGTTTTCGTCTCATCAAAGGCTTCATTTTCCTGTTTTAGCGCGAGTTAGCGAGCTGAGCAGCACCGAAATCATCCAAAATAAAGAGCTGACGGTTATTCCAAGCACGTCCGTGTTCATGGAAATATTGATTTTGTCCGTTCTTTGTTGATTTTGTGTCCTTTATGGGCTCATATGGGAAAAATGCAAGAGCAAAACAGAACGTGACATCAATCACTTTAAGAGGAAACTAGTGTTGTTCTCATGTTTCAGTTTGATTCTCTTGAATAAGCGGGAGCGCTGCTTTCGTGGCCACCACCATTTATCAAAGCTACAGTCTGAGTGGAACATGGAGGATGTTGTTTTTTTCATGCCTCACAACAGAAAAAGCTCTGCGGAGCGTACAGTGGGGGATCTCTACTTCAGACCGGCATGGGTTTCTTTCATGGGGATATGTGAAGGAGTACTTGTGTGGAGATTTGGAGAGAAGAGAAAAAAAAAAAACAAACCTTGGAAATGTAAAAGAGGATTGGCAGAAGGTAGCTAATGCAACTTTAAATCAGATATCTCTTGAGCCACTCGGTGGGATTAAACCAAAAAATTGTCTCTTAAAGCAAAAATCCACCTTCCAGCACAATGCTAGTGGAATCCTTGAAATATGAAAAGCTCAATATTTGTGAACAATCCTCTCCTGCAGCCGAGACGCAGATTACCACAGTTCCTGAAGTCTAAAGCCTTCGAGCAACAAGACTTATCCGGTGGCAATAACCTGGAAATTTCATCAAGTTAAGGTGCTCTCAGTATGTATTACGGATCATAAAAAGTCCCTGCCTTCGGCTCTGAGTCCACCGAGAGTGAAAGTTACACTACATCAGCTTGGGTGGTCAGCTCCTTTGTGAACTGAGGCATTATGACAAAAGCAAGATAGCAAATGGGTCATATGAGTCAGCAAATGTAGGTAAGAATAACATCAGCTTTAGTTCGCTTGATAAATTCAAGGAAAAGGTGGGCAATAAGCGCTGGATACTCAAGAGAAACTCGACAAAGTCTAAAAAAAACAAACTCTGAGATTCAAAGACCAAACACACTAGACAGCTAAATTACTGAAACAGCAGGAGACAGGCAAGAGGCCAAGGATTTCGACTTAGTTAAAAAAGAAAAACTGGAGCAATGTTCGACTGAATATGAGAAATCTGTTTGATAGACGTTCACATTTAAACTCTGTGATGTCTTGATTTGATCCCCTTTGGACCCAGTCCCAATTTGCAGACTGAGATTTCCATGTTACATAAGAAATCTGAACAATGCTCTCCTCCGGCAGAATGATTTAGCTCAACATTTCAAACCTGGAAATGGAACATAACATACTGTAAATCCTCCAGCCTCCTTGCCAGTCTCGTCCTCTGTCTGCCTCTTGTCTCTGTCACTGTCTGTGTGTGGGTGCGTCTTGGGCTGGAAATATACAGACTCCACAGATGACAGATCTTTCAGGAGGGATGAGCAGTTTTTTAAAATACACCTCTAAAGCTCCGTCTGAGTAGCTGAGCGCAGAACAGTCGCTGCTGTCTTCATGCATAATTTCATCTGCACTTCCAGCAGCTTACTTCACATTCAACCTGCCAGCCAATATACAGTATGCAGAGAGCATTATTCAGATGGCTGCCTCCAATCAATAGACTTCATACACGTGTTGCTCCACACTGAGGGGATATTGAATGTATTCTCTGTAGACTACGACTTTCTTTGGTATATTTTGCATTGAGTTTGACGGAGTTTGCTCACTGAATGTTATACTCTGGATTAAGACATCATTACCGTAATTCCATGAGAGGAATTAAAGAGAATAGACGTGCCAGTTTAGGGGGAAACACATTCTCAGTGCTCACTTCAGAGCTGTTGTGCTTTTGGTAAAGGATCGTTAATTATTAATGGAAAAACAGAAATGTTTAAAAGACCTGATGTCCCTCATAAATTCAAGAGTTGATGTTATTTTTTTATTATTATTATTCTTTCTGCTCCTTTTTATTCACATATTTGAGATTTTTCCTTGTTTGTATTAAATGTTTTATTGTTTGTGTTTGTTTTGCTGCCCCCTGTGGACAAAAAGGGAACTGCTTATTTTTATCTTAAGAATTGTATGTCATGTTTCTCAACTGATAATTTAACCCTTTTTTATTTAAATAATCATATGAAACCTTTCTCATGGATAACGTTAAATAAAAAGGCAGTTTTAGTAGTTTGTACCTGGTTAATTTGGCTGATACCTACCCTCCACTTGCAGTTTCAGAAATCAAAATTACAAAAGAGAATTAGGGCCACATTAAGGGAAAAAAATAATTATAGAAAAAAGATTGAAGTTGAAATTTCAAGAATAAAAAAAATTTAAATTTTGAGATTAAAGTCGAATTTTTGACTTTGTTTACATTTTCTTTTTTCTATTTCAACTTTTGCAATTTTCTCAAAATCTCAGCTTTAACTTTGAAATGGAAATTTAAAAAATCTCCCTCCTGTGATTATTTTTTGCTCTTCTTGTGGCCCTAATCCTCTTTGGTAAAAAAAAATAACTGTACAGATATGATCGATGTTTTTGGTTTTAGACTGGTTTACTTTTGGATCACACGGATGCATCATTCTGAAAACAGTCTCTTTCTTAATTAGCTAAAAACTCCTCATGGTAGCTTTAAATCTGAAAATATTAGCTGGCACCAGTTTTTGGCCTGCAGAGTCACCTGTAGGCTATTAGGTTCAAAGCAGTTGTGCATTTGATTGACCTCAAACCCAAATGGCCAGGTCCACATTTTGCATATCTGTGATGGTACCTCATAGCCCACCTAGATCTACAGCGGCATAGGAAATAGAGCTTGATTGTGGCACCGTCAACTATACTTCCAGGTGTTTTAAATTGTATTTTCTCCTCTAGATAGCTCACTTTACCAAACACAAGGTAGCATTGCTGCAACGACTCTTCCTCAATAACTTGTGTTGTAATTTTATAGAACTAAAACGCTCAGGGTTGCAGCTGGAGTTGGGGTTAATGGCCCAGTTATTATTTATACATCCCTTTGGGACACTTTGTCCTCCAGCATTTAACCCATCCAAACTATTTAAGAGCAAAGGGAAGCCACAGAGCAGCACCGTGGGACCAGCTCTTCTTCTGCGGTGAATGCTTTGGTCAAGGGCAACTTCACTTCCTATCCCAGATACCAAGAGCAGCATGCATTTTAAACTCAAAAGAAATTGAAGCGTTCACATGAATTCAGACAGGGCACACTTGACATTGACAGTCCAGAGCTTCGGTTTGGAAAGAGGCCCTTTGAGGACATCCAGATTTAATGTTTGTGCAGTATACTGTGTACGATTGGAGATAATTACTCTGAGTACCCAGATTTGAGTTTGCATTCATACTGAGTGCGCTTTGTTTTGTAAATTTAGAGTTTTCCCCTCACTGGGCGAGTGAGATGCTATCACTGAGCTCCGCAAGCAAACTTTCCACTTCTGTTCTTTTGATAAGAAACAAAACATCTCACAACACAAACAGGCTTTATATTGGTTCAGATGAAGAGAGGCTTTCCAGTGACTCATTTGCACACGCTGCTATGAATAGACTCGCCTGCCTGTGAACCTACCGCAGCACTGATTTGCTTCTGGGAGTGACAAAAGACTCACATTGCAAAAAAGAATATATCAATTAAGAGGAAAAGATTCTTTCGTGGGTCAATACAGACATGTAGAGTAATCACTGTCCAGCAGAACAAGCTGTTTAGAAATGCCAAGGCTCTTTGTAACACTGCTCTTATCTTTCCTCTGCAGATCTGGTCAATCCAAGATTACTGTAGCCGTCCTACAGCGACCTCCTGAAAGGCTTTCTTAATCTGGAATGATGTCCAATTTTAATTCCAAGCAGTTTTTCATTACCGCCATGAACATTTCCTCAATATTTTGATGTACATTTCCTCTTTTATGTACAACCCTGCATTAATTCTTTAATGGTGGTCCACAAATCCCCAAAAAAACATGACATACTGAGCACAGGGAGTGCTCAAAGGTAGCCTAGTAGCGCTAACATAAGACAAACCTGTCACAAACCCAGTATGGTCAATATATCACTCAATGCACTATGTTTCTGGTCCAACCCTGATAGGATGCGGGCCAGGAAATCTGGGCGCGGACTAAAGGGGGCTGAACATTGGATGTGTTATTTATCGCTATAACCATAAAACATAGAAGCAGAGCAGGGAGGAAAGAGAGGAGGCAGACAGACAGGGAGGGAGGGAGGGAGTAGTCATGTTAGGAAGGAGCCCATATCTCCATAGGAGTGATTGATGGGGATGAGGAATCGGCCCTGTCATGGTGCAATTACACCAGTCGGACAGGATGTGTTTGAAGGACAGAGCAGCTGAGTACAGACCGGGAGGGGAAGTGATTCATGCTGCAGGAAAGCGCTGCAAAACAAATGATGTTACGGTCCTGACCTTGTAACTGTGACAAGATATCATCTCTCTTGTTAATTCTAAATGATTCCCTTCCTGGGGGTGAGTGTTATCCTGCAGATTAGTTCATTAAAACTCAGAATGGTCATGGCCGCATGAGCCACTGTTGGGAAGCATGTCTGTTAGTTAAAACCTATTTTTTGCCTCTGTAATGTTTCTGATTTACAGGACTAGTAAAGCTTTGTATTTGGGGTGCTTTTAGGAGTTTTTGAGCCAGCTTTTACCACCTTAAAAATATGTTAAGTCATGATGCATTTGGACAACCTAACAGAGAGTTTTGCTCATATTTTTAAACTGAGAAGCCTGAACCAAAAATGAAAAATAAAACCAAAGAGAAAAAAGCTTCATCTGCATTTCCCCAAAGTCTTGTCTGGTCTTGGAAAGCTTTTAATCTAAAGCAGCAGTCGTGTTTACACTAGTTTAGGCTCACAGACAGGGCACAGAAAATGTCGCTTTCATGAAATCTAATGCAAAAGCTTTCATAATGTGATTAGGTCATATTGACTCACATTTTGGGTATGAGTTGGCAACAGGGAGCGGTATTAAATCTAATCTCGTACTTTCATCACTTTGCCTGAAGTTTCTATCTTTCCCAGTAAAGTCACTGTTGATCTCATCAGCGGTGGCCAAAGGGACACCTGACCCCGCTGACTTGAAGAGCTCAGTCAGCACTTCTGCATGGATAACATGGCTGCAAGTGACCTGGAAATGGATTCAGTCCCCCTAAATGGCTTTAGACTCGCTGGTGGATTTACAATCTCCTGCCTTGCTTTTAAATCTTTACCATTTTTGACATTGCTCGCTTTTACTCTGCCTGTCTTCTATCTTCTTTTTATTCCAAGTGACACACAAACCCCTATCATTTTCCTCTCATGCAGCATTACTTCCCCCTATCTTGTCAGTCTCAAAGGTTTTGTCTAAATGAGAAGCTCTGGCGTGGAGATCAGCATCTCTGTGTCTCGGTTAGATTCAATTTCAAACTTATCTTTGTCAGTCAAGAACACAGAGAAGACAAAAATTGGACTGAGTTCAAGTTGGTACTTTTCGGTAGAAGAAAAACCACTTATGGTGGGGGATGGGGTGGTTCAAGGATGTGACTGTTTGGGCAAGAGCATGAAGCTTGGGAGGAGTGAAGGATGATTAAAGTTAGCAAAAGCTGCATTTCCACCGAATGTAAGCAGAATATTAAGTCCCAGAACTGTTCTTCAAAGGATTAAAGACTTCCCTCAGCCATTTTAGTTTTACCAATCTTTGTGGATCGATGAATATCAGGTAGATGAGTCTAATTCAAGTATTTAGCTGATTTTCAAAGCCCTTGTACTTTAAGGTAGTACGTAAACCTCCATGCAGGAACCATTTGTTTGGAATTAAAGTGTTTGCAGTCTATACAGTGGAAAACCCGAGAAGTGCCTCCTAAGGTCCTGAGCATAGACTGTATATACTATGGATAACTTGGTTCCACCTTCCGCCTGTATACAGATTTGGAGCTAAAAAGCTCTCGGTAATTCCACTTTTTCTCCATTTCCTAAAACCAACATTGCGCAGTAGCATTGTGCGCATTCAGCGGGAGAGTCGCTGAGAGTCGTTGTGATGACGTTTGGCTCAAACAGCGTATCCCCGGGTGAGCTACGCGATCTTCGTATGTCCATAGGCTGTATCAAGTGTCAATCAAAGAAAACATGTACCATCTAATAACTTTTAAAAATGGAGCTGTACAGAAAAAATGAATGAATGGTGTAGGAGGAGCACATTTTAGAAATGATGGCTGTGGCGGGGCGCCACTAACGCCGTCCTCATCGCGGCTGGCCGCTCTCTCCCTCGCGGCTGGCCGCTCTCTCTCTCGCGGCTGGACGCACGCTCTCTCTCGCGGCTGGACGCCTTCTCTCCCTCTCGCTCTCCCTCGTCGCTCGGCGCCGACGTGGGGGAATAGCGTGGTCACTCGCGGCTGGAGTGACAGACGGACGGGAGTCAAAATGAACATTTAAAGACAATAATTGGACTCTTGCGTCCCCGTGGTTGGTGTTAGAGGGTGCACACTCAAACACCTACACGGGTCTCGCTTACACATACACGCACACACATACACACTCACCTTCTGTCTCCGCTTCATGGACTGAACAGAGGCAGTTCCGGGTCACCTGTTAAGTAGCACTAGATGACGTGCCTCCGCGGGTCAGGTGACCCAGGGAGAAACCAAAGTCCGGGAACAAATTGATTTATAGGAAAAATATTGTGTTTGGGTTTAATATTGGCTCAGCCATGTGGAGGGTGTGAGCAACAGTAATTGCTTTGTATTATTTTGTGTATGTAGAAATATTAGTTATGATATAATAGCTGATATCTTGAAAAACCCCTTGATTGTTTTGATTGGTTTGTCCGGAGGAGGGGCCAAGGGGTATTTAAAGGAGCTCAGCTCACTTGTTGGGGTGCCTCCTGGTTGAGCAGACGTATGTTGGTCCTGGTATTTGAATTGCGGTTTGTAAATAGTTTTTCCTCTGTCTTTTTTGTAAATAATTTTTGTAAATATTTTTTGTACATAAGAGTTTTCACCTGTGGGTATTTTTTTGGAGATGGTGTAAATAAAAGGAAATCACCGTACTCGGTTCTCGACTGTGCCATCATCTTTCCCTCCACAACCGAAAAAGAACTTAAAGAAACTGAACCCGCGACATTTGGTGTCAGAAGTGGGATGGCCAGTCGAAGGGGACGCATCCGGTTCACAGGAAGACGGACCGGACTGCGGTCACAAAAAGTGGAAGAAGCTGTGGAGGAAGCAGCCTGGGCCACAGAGGATGAGGATGAAGAGGGTGCTGCTGGGCCTGCCTGGCAGGCAGACCCAGGAACTTCAGGTGCTGGGGCGGAGCTGCTTACAGTGATGAGAACTTTCCTGGAGGGGCAGCAGAGGAGAGAGGAGGGCTTGCTTGCAGAGCTCAGAGGGCTTCGAGCTGCCTTACCAGTTCCACTGCAGCAGCCTGAAGCAGAGCGGAGGCCGGTAACACCAAGTCCAGCACCAAGAACCACTCCGCCATCTGCTGGATCAACTATGAGCCTCCGTCTTGAGTTACCAACTCCAGCTCCTCGGCCACGACGCAGTTCTCCCGTGGAGGCACCAAGGATTGGGGCAAGTAGCCTGGCAGAACCTCCTAGGTCTGAGAGCCGACCCTGGGGTGACCCCAAGATCCCTCAGTATCTGGCGGGAGAGGACATTGAAAATTACCTGCTCCGCTTCGAGCGCATTGCCAGAACGTGGGGTTGGCCAGACAGTGAGTGGGCCTGTCGCCTGGTGCCTCTGCTAACTGGAAAGGCGCTGGAGGCTTACACAGCGATGGATGAGGACCTGGCTCACTCCTACCCGGACCTGAAGGCAGCGCTCCTGATGAAATTTGACATCTCCCCGGAGACTTATCGCCAGCAGTTCCGGTCCATGGCTGTCCCACCAGGAGAGAACCCCACAGAGACTTACCACCGCTTAAAGGGTCTCTACCGTCGATGGGTCCGGCCAGAGCAGCATACAAAGGAGCAGATCGGGGAGCAGGTCATATTGGAGCAGCTGCTGAGGGTCTTCCCGGCTGACATCCGCACCTGGGTGAAGGAGCATGAGCCGACGGATGGGCTAGCTGCAGGGAAGCTGGCACTGCAGTACCTTAACGCACGGAGGGGAGGCCCGACAGTCAACCAGGGTGGACCCAGTCGGCAGGTTTCATCACAGCCCAGACCAGGGGCCAGAGCCAGCCAGCATCCAACAGGAGAACCTCGGTCCGCACCTCGCCAGCGCAGCCCTGGTAAGGAGCTTATTTGTTTTTACTGCCAGCAAGCAGGACACAAGGCTGCTCTGTGCCCCATCAGAAAAGCCAAGCTTAGCAGTGCCTGCTACACTCCCCGAGCGGAGGTTGCAAGTGCTGGGGGACGGCAACCAAGATTCAAGGAAATAACCATAAATGGGGAATGTGTGACTGCTTTGGTTGACTCTGGGAGCTTCCTGACGCTGGTGCGAAGGGAGCTGGTGCCAACGGGCAGTGTGGATTATAGCAGACAGGAAGACATTCTGTGCGCACACGGGGACAGCCATTCCTACCCCACAGCTGAGGTGACAGTGGTAGTGGACGAGCAGCCTTATCTGCTGACTGTGGGGGTGGTGGATAGGTTGCCTGTGGCTGCGATCCTGGGTTGGGACTTCCCAGTGCTACTGGACGTGCTGCTGGAGGCAGGACCCACAGCCAGTGACCTGGGGAAAGGGTTGTCTGGGCTGGTGATCACCCGTGCCCAGGCCAGAGCGGGGATTGCAACCGGCCCAGGGCAGGAAAAGGGCCCTGAGCCAGAACTTTTTTCAACCCTGGACAGTGGTTTGTTTGAGGGGGGCACAAAGGGCCCCAGAAAGTCCCGCCGTCAGCGGCGGTTTGAGAAGGGGCTGAAATCCCAGGAGCCAGACCGAAAAAAGGGGCTGGCAAAGGACGGATGGAATGTGCCAGAGGACATTGGGGCCTTACAAAGGGAGGATACAACTCTGACGGCCCTGTTCGCCAAGGTGGTTGGGGGACAGGACCTAGCAAAGAAGGACACAGACTGGTTTATTGTGGACAATAATGTGCTCTATGCAATGACAGATGATGTCAGACGCCTGGTGGTTCCTGTGTCATGTCGGCAGATGATCATGCACCTGGCACACACCTTGCCTTGGGCTGGTCATCTTGGTCGCAACAAAACCTACCTGCGGATATCTGCGAGGTTCTTCTGGCCTTCCATGTATGCGGATGTACAAACATTTTGTAAAACCTGTCCCACCTGTCAGAAGACTTGCTTTGTCCGCCAGTCAGACCGTGCCTACCTCCAACCACTACCCGTGATCTCCACTCCATTTAGGCGGATAGCCATGGACATTGTTGGCCCATTGGTGAGGAGCAGCGGAGGGCACCAGTACATCCTGGTGGTCTGTGATTATGCCACTCGTTTCCCTGAGGCTTTTCCCCTGCGCACGGTCACTGCTCCGGCTGTGTTGCGTTGCCTGGTCCAGCTGTTCTCCAGGGTGGGTATTCCAGACGAGATCATCACAGACCAGGGAACTAATTTCACCTCCAGACTCCTGCAGCTCTTCCACCGACAGTTGGGGGTCTCCACAATCAAGACCACCCCATACCACCCTCAGACAGATGGCTTGGTTGAGCGTTTCAACCAAACCCTCAAGAAGATGCTGCAGAAATTTGTGTCTGACACCGGGCGAGACTGGGACCAGTGGTTACCCTTCCTGCTTTTCGCCTACCGAGAGGTTCCCCAAGCCTCCACGGGGTTCTCCCCGTTTGAACTACTGTATGGCTGGGAGGTACAGGGGCCATTGGATCTGCTTCTAAAGACGTGGGAGGCTCCTGCAACAGGCACCAGTGACCGCAGTGTGGTCCAATTCGTGTTGGAGATGAGGGACCGGCTGGCAAAGTACCGGGAGGAGGCCGAGGTCAACCTGCGCGAAGCCCAGCAGGCCCAGAAGGCGTGGTACGACCAACATGCCAGACGCAGAGAGTTCCAGCCCGGCCAGAAGGTCCTACTCCTCCTCCCATCCTCCAACAGCAAGCTGCTTGCCAAGTGGCAGGGCCCGTACACCGTCCTCCGGAAGATGGGCCCTGTGACCTATGAGATCCACCACCCGGACAAGAAAAGGGCAAAGCAGGTCTACCACATCAACCTGCTGAAGGAGTGGAAGGAGGCTCCAGCTCAGGGCCCTGTGGCGGCCCTATTGGTGATGGAGGGGGACAGTGAAGGGGAGGAGGAGTGTATCCTCGCCGACCGCCACCAGTATGCTGAACCTGCTCTGGGCCATCTCTCTGCTGTCCAGTCCAGCCAGCTGTGCCAGGTGTTCGAGAGGGTCTCCAAGCTCTTCGCTGCCAGCCCGGGGAGGACCGGCCTCATCGAGCACGTGGTCCACCTGAAAGACAAGGGGCCAGTTCGCCAGAGGAGTTACCGGGTGCCACAACATCTGGTGGCCAAGCTCCTGAAGGAGGTGGAAGAGATGCAGCGCCTGGGGGTGATCGAACCGTCGCAGTCCGAGTGGTGCAGCCCAGTGGTCATTGTGGTGAAGAAGGACGGTTCCCTCCGCATCTGCATCGACTTCAGGAAGCTGAACGCAATGTCGGAGTTTGACGCCTACCCGATGCCACGGATCGACGAGCTGCTGGAGAGGATTGGCCGGGCCAGGTTCATCACCACCCTGGACCTCTGTAAGGGCTACTGGCAGGTACCCTTGGAAGCATCCAGTCGTCCCTACACAGCGTTCCAGACACCTTCCGGCCTCTTCCAGTTCACGATGATGCCCTTTGGCCTGCATGGGGCACCCGCCACCTTCCAGAGACTGATGGACCAGGTTCTACGGGGGTGTGAGGACTGCAGTGCTGCCTACCTGGATGATGTGGTCATCTTCAGTGACACCTGGGAGCAGCACCTGCATCACCTGGAGCGAGTCCTGGGCCAGATCCAGCAGGCAGGCCTGACACTGAATCCAGCCAAATGCCAGTGGGCTAAGGAGGAGACAGAGTACCTGGGGTACCGGCTGGGACGAGGGGAGGTCCGGCCGCAGGTGGACAAGGTGGAGGCCATCCGCAGCTGCCCACGCCCTCGAACCAAGAAGGAGGTGAGGTCCTTCTTGGGTTTAGCCGGCTGGTACAGAAGGTTTGTCCCACAGTTTGCCACCATCGCAGCGCCTCTGACAGCTCTGACAGCGAAGGACCAGAGAAACCCTGTCATCTGGAACAATGACTGCGAGACGGCCTTCCACGCTCTCAAAGCCTGCTTGTGCTCTTCGCCGGTTTTGAGAAGCCCTGACTTCAGACAGCGGTTCCTGGTCCAGACGGATGCTTCAGCTGTGGGACTGGGGGCAGTCCTGGCCCAAGGTGAACCTGGGGAGGAGCGACCAGTGCTGTACCTGAGCCGCAAGCTGCTGCCACGGGAGACCAGGTACTCCACGGTGGAGAAGGAAGGCCTGGCGATCAAATGGGCCCTGGAGAGTATGAGATACTACCTGCTGGGGAGGGAGTTCGACTTGGAGACTGACCATCGGGCGCTGACGTGGATTCATTCGATGAAGGATCACAACAGTCGTCTCACCCGCTGGTACCTCTCCCTCCAACCATTCAGATTCCGGATCCACCATCGGCCGGGCAAGAGCAATGTTGTGGCAGACTATCTGTCAAGGTTGCCGCACATCGCCAACCTCGGGGAGGAGAGGGGTAATGTGGCGGGGCGCCACTAACGCCGTCCTCATCGCGGCTGGCCGCTCTCTCCCTCGCGGCTGGCCGCTCTCTCTCTCGCGGCTGGACGCACGCTCTCTCTCGCGGCTGGACGCCTTCTCTCCCTCTCGCTCTCCCTCGTCGCTCGGCGCCGACGTGGGGGAATAGCGTGGTCACTCGCGGCTGGAGTGACAGACGGACGGGAGTCAAAATGAACATTTAAAGACAATAATTGGACTCTTGCGTCCCCGTGGTTGGTGTTAGAGGGTGCACACTCAAACACCTACACGGGTCTCGCTTACACATACACGCACACACATACACACTCACCTTCTGTCTCCGCTTCATGGACTGAACAGAGGCAGTTCCGGGTCACCTGTTAAGTAGCACTAGATGACGTGCCTCCGCGGGTCAGGTGACCCAGGGAGAAACCAAAGTCCGGGAACAAATTGATTTATAGGAAAAATATTGTGTTTGGGTTTAATATTGGCTCAGCCATGTGGAGGGTGTGAGCAACAGTAATTGCTTTGTATTATTTTGTGTATGTAGAAATATTAGTTATGATATAATAGCTG